GATTGAAATCCAAATCACCATGGGAAAGAGATGGCTTCGCCGTGTAGAGGTGAACGATCACTAAGTACTCATTTATCTTCAAGCTCGCAATGGGCACTCTCCAATGTCGCACCATCTAGTGATTCCTTCAAAAGGAGTAAGGACAATGAACACTTGGAAAAACAAATGTAGTTAGCGCTAGTGCAAAACCAAGCGTTCAAGTGGTGATTCACCCAACAAGTGTTGTCATCAAGCATATCATAAGGTGGGACAAAAGATTGTGACATGGCATGTAAGCACATAAATTGAGCACAATGAAAGACATCATGGAAACAAGCATGTAAATGTGAGGTAGTGATGCAAATATGTGTGTCAAGTGGACAAGCATGTACCTCAAGGTCATAGCAAACATGCATAAAGCGCTCGACAAATGGTCGATGGTAGGCATAAGAATCATTCACAACACCATATAAAATGAAGTGTCTAAACACATGTGGCAAGACAATCCAAGAATAATGTGCATAGGGTGTAGTGAATATAGTGTGGCACTCAACACAATAGAAAGAGCAATTGTTCATCATGTGTGAGGCAATCAAGTCAATCATGTGACAAGCAATGGGACATGGCATATGTGAAGAAATGACATTGTTGCAACCAAACATATGAGAGGAGCAAGTGATCCAAGAATTGGATGCAACACACAAGTTATATATGTCATGAAGCATGGCAATGTGGCAATGATAAGTCGAAGCAAGATCTCTAGCATGTGTGCAATATGTCAAGGTGCAAGCAACACATGAAGTAGGATCCACAATATTCATGCTCATGGTTTGGGGTTTCTCAAAAGAGAAGGATATCACCTTGAAAGCATGTCCTTGTGCATCCTTCACAATGCCGAAACACAAGCAAGTGCGATGTAGAAGCGAGTTGGGGTAGAATGTATGAGGCTCGCTCTCAAGAGCTCGAATGGTCAACTCACGTGAAGTGGAAGTCGATACGAAGTCCAAGTATCCTACACATGCACAAACAAAGCAAAGAACATATGCGCATGGTAGATAAACACATCATCCATCATGATGCTTCTCTTCTCTTGCACATAACCATTAAAAGCACAAGTGCATGAATAATATGATGCAACAATGGCTATATTCATGGTACTAGGTATATGGTGCAAAGAGGTAAGACAAGCATGCTTCACAAGGAATATGTCAAAATCTCCAAATATATGCGAGAATGCTATGGGGGCAATCTCATTAGCAAGACTAAACGCATTGTTGCACTCAATACATGTCAAATCTAGCATGAGAGAGACAACACATGGAGATATATGATAAGAAGCAATAACAATCATGTGCAAAGTATGTAGCTGGTTTTCATCAACCGCATGAAACGAGCAAGTATGAATCATCGGTGATGCAACAAGGCAGGCAATCATAGTAATCAAGTCGTGCAAACTAGTGAAGCGAGGATGCAATACACTAGAGGAAATCATGACAATCATGTCATGTGAGCGAATAATAGGCATACACAATGCGCATGACATATCGCAAACACCAACACAAAGCAAGATCATAGTATCATCATATGAATGGGTCATAAGAGGAGCATGGCAATAACAAGCAATATCTCCATCAAGCTTGCAAATACACATATATGTACTAGAATCAATCATCATGTGTAATGCAAAGCATGTGTCACAAATGCATGGCAAAGGCATTGGAATGAGCATATCATGCAAAGTGAACATGGCAAGATGGGCATAGAATGTGTAATGGACAATAACCCATAGCCAAGTGAGGGCCATGTAGAAGAAATGCGCGAAGTCATGCCGCAATGGGAATGGTGTGAAAACCAATCCAAGGGATCCCAAGTCATCGTTGCTCTCTAGAGCTCATTTTGTCAACTCATGGGATTGTGAGGTTGACAAGTATTCATGGGTACCTACACGAAAGAGACACGAACCAAAGAAATTGTGTGCGTGGTAAATGTACACATCATCCATCATGATGTGTATATGCATGTGAGAGTTAGCACAAGATAAGCATCGCTCAAAGAAATTGGAAGCATGGTATAAGAACATGTCATCCATCATGAAAGAATAGTTGTTATGTATGACACGATGAGGACACAAATTGAGCGGGCAAGTATATGGCACAACAATAGCACGTTTATTCATGGGAGCATATTGCGCACACAAGTATTAGTGGGATCATGCAATAGATGGGATGGATCAAAATTTCCTAACATGTATGAGGAAATACGGGGTCT